ATGTCATTGTGTCACAATTAACATGTTATGGTAGACTGTTGTATCATATAATAAAAATATACATTATATATATTTTTTCAGTTTCAAAGGGTGTTGTAATATATAATTAACGTAGTGGCSATTGTATCATGAAATTAACAATAATCAGGCCATATGTGTCATATAATTTGGGAATTGTAGCAGGTCGTTGTATCTTTTAATTAATGGGTATGGCAGGCTGTTGTCATATAATAAAAAATACTTTATATAATTTTTTTTAATTTAAAAGATTTTTGTTTAGTTGCAAAATAAATTTTTGAACAAACTTTTCAGCCCAAGTCAGTTCCAAACTGGACCTCTGGRTAAAGCAGCTTCTTTCTTCAGATTAAAAAAACACCAACCAGATGTGGAAATTACCGTAAAGCAGCAGGTCAAATAAAATACCGTAACTGCTAGAGAACCTAAACCTCTGTGAATTAATTTCTGTAGATTATGGAGATCTGTAGCTTTCCATTTAGCTCGTCAGTATGAGAAGAGTCCWGGTTTGGTGAATTGTTGTGTTTGTGTTTTGTGCTGCAGGTGCAGAATACCAGGTGTGTACTACTTTGTGTTCCACGCCTCGTTAGAGGAACGACTCTGCGTGCTGCTGAAGCTCGACAACCAGCTGCTGACGTCGTTTTGTGATCACCGCCACTACAAGAGACAGGTGTGGTCCCGATGCAGCACTGGAGCTCGTTGTTTTTTTKTTTTTTTWKWGTTTTACTGATGGTGTACTGACTCTGTGACCTTGTCACTGGTTCCAGGTGACCTCCGGCGGCCTGGCGGTCTACCTGTCAAGAGGTCAGGAGGTCTGGTTGGAGACTAAAGACTACAGAGCGATGACGGGGAGACACAGCGGCTACAGCATATTTTCTGGTTTTCTGCTGCACCCTTACTAAAGTTCACGATGTTCAAACACGAAACTTAAAAACCTTCACACACTGTGGATTTGTTGTATCACTCACTTGTCTGTACCTCTGTAAACTAAAGTCAGTATTTTTTAATTTTCTTTCATCTGTTCAGTTAATAAATGAAAAAAAAAAAAAAAAAAACATCTGGCATCCAACTCATTAAACCCAATAAACTCACTGAAAGAGCTGAGAAACGTTCCCCCCCCCCTTTTTTACATAATTGCTGCTATTTTTAGCTTTTAGCTTGCTTTTTTGCTACTGTTGCGTTAGCCTTTGCTACCTTTAGCTTTTAAATAATGTTTTGCTGCTTTTAACAGGCCTTATGCTACTTTTGGATTAGCTGGTGTTTTGTGTTGTTTAGCTTTTAGATAGCATCTTGCTGCTTATTTTTTTAACTAAACCTTTACTGCTTTTAGCTTTTAATACATTGCCACTTTTAGCTAGGCTTTTGCCACAATTAGTTTTTAAGTTATATTGTTAATACATTCAGCTACTTTGATATTTTTAGTTCTGCCTACTTGTTTGATGTTTTATCTTTTAGTTAGCTACTTGTTATTTTTAAACTATAATTTTGCTACTTTTTAGCTACGGTTTATCTCTACTTTCTGATTTTAGCTACTTTTCTCAGTTTGGCTTTTAGTAGGCATTTTGCTACTTTATTTCTTGCTATATTTTGACCTATTTTAACTTTTAGGTAATATTTTACCATTTTTATTTATCCTTTTAATAGTTTTAGCTACTATGTAGTATTTTAGTATTTTAAGCATTTAGCTAGATTTTGCTGCCTTTAGCTTATTGCTAACCTTTTGCTGTTTTTAAAAGATCTTTTGCTACTTTTTGCCTCTGTCTTGTGGTGTGCTTCTTTTAGCTAGCTTTTTGGTACTTATTTTTTTACTTTCAACTTTAGCTGCTTTTAGTTTTTCGCTAATGTTTTGCTTTTCTTATCTAGATTTTTTTACAACTTTAAGCCTCTAGTTAGTATTTTACTCTTTTTAGCTTTTAGCTCACAGTGTGGGTGCTAGCTATCCCCTTCCTTTAGCTTTAACATCTGTTTCAGCTTCTTCAGCAAATCTTTGCGGTCATTGAAAAATGTAGTTCGTCTTAATTTTATGTTTTTTAATATCAGCTCATTCTAACACTTTAAATTTTAAATAAAAAGTTGATTTTCAAAATAAAACCGACGGGGTGAGAAACCCAGAAGGAGTTAAAAACAGGATGTGTGAGAAACTGAACGACCAGCAATTTTTCACAGGATGTTTTTATTAAAAATACTTCATCGTTTTGATTCTGCTGATGTGAGGAAATTAAATAATTTGTGGAACAGATACTGACTGAAGTCAGGAGCTTCGGTCTGAAAACACCGTCTGTTTCCGGCATCAAACAGGAAGATCAGAGAAAAACAGAACCAAACATTGGTCATTTGGAGAAAAGTAATTTTTTATATTTCTAAATCAAATTCAGCTGCTGCTGCTTTGTCATCAGTTCTCCATCAGGTTAAGAGCACGCCGCCACCGCTAATTACCCCWAGCAAACATAAAAGTGGTGCCGAAATCTTGACAGTGGCTAACTTTCTGYGTTTAGTTAGCTTTTGGCTACTTGTAGCTTTTGTGCTTCTTATTGGTTTTGCCTTGTCTTTTGCAAGTTATAGCTTTTAGTTACTAGCCTTTTACTACTGTTCACTTTTGTCAAAACCTTTGGTACCTTCAACTAACTTTTTGCTGCTCTTAGCTGCCATTTGGCTACTTTAGCTTTTAGCAAGAAAGTTGTTACATTCAGCTTGTGATAATCTTTTTAAAGACACCATTTAACCACTTTTAGCTTTTAGCAAG